TCAAAAATTCCGAAACTTATGAATATGGCGTCAATAGTATTGGCCAAAAGCATCTAAATTATGCCCAAGGACAAGATTGATAAAATAGGAAGCCTCACAGCGAGAAAATGAATTAATTCCGATTGTAAGTTGCAATTTGGTATCCAGAAAAATAAATGAAGTATTAAAAAGAATAAAATTATTCCAAATATCGCCTGAAGCGATAAGAAAAAGACTCATTCAGGCAATAAGAAAACGACTCGCCCAGGCGAGTTGCCTTCGGCGGACGTTTGAGAGCGACCGGTAATAGGAAATCGATTCGATGGCAATATTACCGGCAATAAATTTGTTTCCGAGGGCGACACGTTTTCTTATTGCCGGCAACACAAATTGTTTGGTGGGACTTCACAAAAAAATGTGAGCGCCAAATATATGTATGTACGTACATGTATTTATTTATGTGGCCAAAACTCTAACATATATAATGTTTATCCCGACGGCAAGGTGGGACCATTTGGTAGCGCACAGCTAAATATCATAAATTTATGTACATATATACGCCAAACCAGCGAAGTAAGCATCCACCCAACAACAACAAATGCTACAAGATGCCAAAGCAACATCAGTGCTCACTTGAAAATAAACAAAATCAAAGCAGACCTTGTTGGAAGAGTGTGGACCAAAGTTGCATACAAAAGTCACGAGTTTCAAATTGTGGCCACACACGGAAAGCGTCAAAAGTCAAAAAGTTACAACCAAGGGGGAAAGGTGTATACATACATACATACATACATAAATATGTATGCGCTTATTTGTGTATGTGAGATGCGTTTATTTAACCCTTTCTAAAGTCAGAAGACACAACAAAATTTGGGGTGAGTGAAAATAAAATGATTTATTGACGCCTGCTTGCATATGTATGTGTTTGTATGTACTACGAGCAAATGTATACATACATACATACATATTTGTATAAGATGCATGCGGGTGCTGCAACAAATGCGTGAATTTTTCGAAACGCTTAATTGGCTTACCACATCAATTTAATTGCCTTAGAGACGGCTTTAAATTCAAGTCGAAGGATTCACATACAAATATATTTCAATTGCCATACATTTATAGGTAAATTAGGCCATCAAGTGTTTAAATGACAACATCAAAAGATTAACATATATACCCATAAATACATATGTACATATGCACATATGCTGCAGCACGTGACGCTCATATGAAAGCAAAGCGCCCAAGTAAACATAAATAAGCCGCGTCTTCTGGCTTTTATGCGGCCGCCCGGAGTGTGCTCTTCGCAATTGTGCTTTTTTATTGTGACAGTGCGCTTCTTAACGCCACTTAACGTTTGTTGCTTTTTTTTTTGGTTTTTATTTTTGAGTGCCATACAAAGGCGACACAAAGCTCATCTTTGCCAACGAAAATATAACCCTTTGAGCTGCTCACTTTAAGCATTTTGCAGCCTCCAAAATTAGCCACTTATTCAACCGTTTCCAAATACTTGAGTTTCGAGTAGGATTTTCGCAACAGTCAAGTGTTAAACAGCCAAGTCACTGCGTGCTGCCTGTTTTTTTGTTATAATGAAAATTTTCTTTGATATTTATTTATATAAGTACACTTAATCATCGTTCTTAATTGCGTAAAAATCTGAATTTCCATAAAAAAAAAAAAAATCTTTAAAAAATTGTTTTGCTCGTTTCTACCGGTAGCTACCTAATCATGTTTATTTTTTTTCACGTTGAAATGGACCGACATATTTCAATGAAATTTGGCACACAGATAGGTCTTGATTAATTAATATACAACATAAGAAGGGAGTTGCCACCTTTTTGAACATTGAAATCAATTAATTAATTAATTAATAGCTTAAGTGAAATATTACAAGAATGTGGTTATTAAACGAATTGGGTTCAAAAACCATTTATTTTGAAGAAGGTTGCCATCTGTTCAAAACGTAAAAATCTATTAAACTTTTAGTTAAATCTAATATATAAACAGGCTATCAAAAAAGAGAAGTTTAAGAATGTTTTATTTCGAAAATATTACTAAACTGGGTTGCCATCTGTTCAGAAAATCATAATAATTTTGATCAACAAGCAAAATAAAATATTTTAATATGGGTTAGAGGTTTAAGAAGCTTTATTTAAAAAAAAAATCAAAGAGGGGTACCACCTGCTTATAAATTCAAAAGCATTTTAATTAATAAGCTGATTGAAACTTTTTAAAGTACATACATAGGTGTAAATTGGAAAGAGTTTAAGAAGACTTTATTTCTTTATTTAGATTTTTGTAGAAGGTTGTCAACTGTTAAAAAATACGGAATGAATTTAACTAACAACTTAAATTAAATATTTTTATATGGGTATCAAACGATAAGATATTTACAAGGCTTTATTTTCGAAAAATTTTTTTGAAGAGCGTTGCCATGTGTTTAGTAATTCAAATTCCATTGAGTTTATTTTGTATGGGTGTCAAACAATAAGAGAGGTATTTCGAAAATGTTTTTTAAGAGCGCTGCCATGTGTTTAGTGATCAAATTCAATTTAGTTTAAAAATCAAATAATATATTTTAGTTTAGGCGACAAACGAGATAGGTTTAAATAAGCTTTATGTACAAAATATATTTGAGAAGAGATGCCACCAGAAAATAAATATTTTTTAAGAGGGTTGCTAACTGCTTTAAATTTAAAATTTAACTGAGTTAAATAGTTAATTGAAATAAATTATTTTGAAAATATTTTATAAGAGAGTTGGCACTGCCGCAACATTTACGCAAATTAACCTTTTCTGTTTATTTTATATCAATCTGGCATTGATATACAACTAAAATTATATTCTTACATATAAAGACTATATACTAAGATAAGTTTTTCCTCAGATACGTTGAACGTGTTCTGAGATAATTAAATATCGATTAAGAAAACCATCTGAATATGAGCAACCAAATGATACGCATAATTCGATAGCATTCGATAACATCAAATCATATGTATATCATGCTGGCTAAAGCTAATTCCAAAATAAATTCAACAGTTGTAACATCAAAAAAATTTTAGAAAAAAATCCGAGAAATTCCAATTCTTTTCAACTTAGCAAAAAAACGTATTGCTCTAGAATCAGTTTTGTTCACATTCTAGTTTAAACATAATTAAATTCACTACTAAGCTCTCAACAACTTCTATACTCTCTATTTCAGCCTTTGTGGTGTAGTCGTGCATAAATTTCATTTTCAACAAAAAAAAAAAAAAATGCGATTATCATATTTACAAATGCATACATATTTCAAACACATGAGCTACCTAAAATATAAACAGTTACCACAATGAACACACCAAATATTTAATGTCTGTATATCTAATGCATAACCTCAAAATAAAACAAAACCAAAGCAACTAACAAAAACAGTAAATAATAACCCTCGTTTTTTGTGCACACTTGAACTGAGTGAACTGCTAGAAACAGTTACAGTTCGGCTTATTCGTTGTTTTAAACAACGACAAATTTGTTTTGCGGTTTTCTGGTTGAAAACAGAGTTTTGCTCCTGACAGTTGACATTCTTTTGCGGGTGTTAAAATTATTAAAATAATTGAAAGCGTCATGCATTTGTGAAAATACGAGTATCTACACAAATTTGTGAGATGAGTTAAGAGTTTTTGGTAGAATTTAACATAGCACGCGAGTCGCTTGTTCTTCGCTTCGTCGCTTGTTGTGACACATCAGGTTTGGCTTGTAAGCGCTGATTAGATTCTAGTTGTTTCTTAAAAAATACTTGACATCCGCATTCGCAACATCCCTATTCTCGACTACTATCCCTGAAAATACCATTGCCGCACCTTGACGTGATGGTCACTTATAGTCATTTGTTGAACAACAACAACTGATTTTGGCGAAGTTTGAGTACCTACCGCAATTAAACAAAAGGACCTTCCACTTAGGCTTAAATTAAGTCTTGAATTTTCGATTACAATCGCTTCAAAAACCAACCCTGACCTTGACCCTAAGGTCACTTATAGTAATTTATTGTACAGCAGAAATTGCGGTTTTCGGCTAACATTTTTTTTTTCAATAGCACAATTTTCCAGTACTGTTTATAGTTCAATAAATGACTTTAAGTAACCTTCAGGTCGAGGGGAATGGATGGTATTTTCAGGGACAGTAGTCGAAAGTTCTAGCTTTAATAAAAGCCTCAGTGAAAACATCTATAAACTTTTCTTTCTTTGCCAGGGCTTCTCAAACATTGCCTAGAACGAGATTTTTTGATATTTTTATTTCGTTTATCTCAAAATATGAACCTGATGGAAACTTACAGATTTAACAATTGCATCACCAAAATCAGTGTTGCCTTGTCTTATGCAGATAATGCAGCAATTAACATTTCTGATAGACGTCAAAACTCGAAGTTGAGAGAACATTTGAAAATGTTCACAACTGGACTGGAAGTTGAGTGAGGAAGAGAGAATTAATAAGGCTTCTAATGATTTATACGCTTGCAGGAAAACGCTCGGTAAGACATGGGGTATATATACGGTGACCATCCGTTCTGTTTTTTGCAGGACCGTACTGTTTTTCGAAGGTCGGTCCTGCGTAGTT